TCCAGATGCATTTGAGATATCAAAAAAGTACTCCAGAGTGTTGTTCAGCATGGGGGTGAGTAGAAAATGAAGGCTAATCATGTTTTGGGTGAACTATTCCTTTAAGATCTAGTGAATGAGAAAGATTGCAGAACCTCTTCTAATGCGGCTCTGTTCCCAGGCTTGGACAATGTACTCCACCGACATCTACCAGCTGAAAGTGAAGCACAGAGTTAAGGCTGTGTGCGTCAGAGCAAAGGATGCTTTTTGCAACTCAGAGTGGAGCGAATGGACCCACATCAGGTTGGTGCGTCTCAGTGGTGACATATAAAACGTTCCTATTCCTTTCCCCACTGACATCACCGCTTTCCCCACATGTACCTGTCACCTGATTCTCTTCCTCCCAGAAACATGCACACATCTTCATAACAGCTAATCCTCTGCTTTAGTTCTGCTTTCTGTATCTGGGTGCCTACCAACATGGTCTCTGCGGTCTTCGAACTGCTGTTTTTAGTTTCTATAGAAACTTCAGTGTTTCGTGGTCGAAATGATGAATATGTGAACAATTAATTCATTATGTGTGCTTTGTTTTGTTTTTACAGACTGAGGAGAGGCGGGAAAAACAGCAAACATCAGCTGTTAACGTAACGAGAGGATAAAGGATCAGAGTGGAAAATCCCAGACTGATGCTTTTCTGTTTTTTTTTTTTCTATTTAAACAATAAAGTGTTTGTAAGATGTAAGTTATTAATTTATGACTGAAATAAACAAGTTTACACGGCAACAACTTTGTTTTCAGTCAAATGCATGACTCCGCTGCTTTTTGTATCGTAGTTGCTGTCATCCACCTTCCAGGAATAACGAGTTTATATGAGAAAATTGGTGTAAAATCTTGTTAATTAAGATTAATTGTTTGTGCAAATTCTCATTGTATTTTATAAGTAGTTAGGCATTCTTCTTTGATCTACTGAAAAGTGACCAATGACAAAGCTGCATGTAACTCACCTGCTTGGGGTTTTACATCTTTTCCCAACTATCCTCCCCTCTTTATAACATAATTACTGCAAATTTTAACTGTATTTGTTAAACATTTACCAGCAATCAGCAAGTGTTGCACATCAGGTATTTCCAGCCTGGTATGAGACGACCGATATATGGCATGAAATCATGTTTATGGGAAACACTGCTAGTTCCATGTTTAACAGAGTTACAAATGGAGGTAATGACATAATTGAGCCTGATTTCACTATCATACAGGAAGAGGATATTAAACTGAGCTTAGACAGAGTTCCTCAAATGTCACATGAGAGGAAACTCATGCAGCTCTCATTAAATGACTGTGAGGCTTTGACCTTGAATCAGCTTTTTCGGTATCGCTCTTGTAGGATTGGGATTCTCAGCCGTGTAGGAAGCTTGATTTTAGATTTTTGGTTCAACAAGAGTTAATTGCTTGGTGTTATAATGCTAGAGTGGCATTAAATATGACTAAGATGTTACAGTTATAAGAGATCTTCACCAGGTTTAGTCCAGATCTCGGTCATTTAGGGTTTTAACCTTCTAAGGCACACTGGTCAAACCTGTCATGGCAAATAATCCGGCCCTCGACGGCCAAAAAAGTTATGTTTTGATAAAATAGAGTAGAAATAGACCCATTCAGCAATATTTTTGGTCAATATTACCATTCTTGTATCTGCATTGACCAATACATTAAAGGAATAGTACACCCAAAACATGATTAGCCTTCATTTTCTACTCACCCCCATGCTGAACAACACTCTGGAGTACTTTTTTG